GCGCACGGCCTGGCAGATGCTCCCCTTGGTCCTCCGGGGCTGGCGGCGCCCCCCGGCCTGGAGGAACTGCAGGTGAGACCAGAACGGGCCGGAATGGGCTGGGATGGGCCGGGATGGGCAGCGATTTAGAATCCTGGCTGGAGGCAAAGAATGACAAAAGCGGCAGCCCGACTCTTCTCCCAGCCCGCCTTTCCCTAAATTTACACCTCTGACAGGGAGTCCTTGGTTAGACGCTGTCTGGCCCAAAGGTCTCGAGTAGACGCGTGGTGCCTGGATGGCAGCAACCCTCGTGGAATAACTTCTTTCTCTCCCCACTTTGGGACTGAGCCACGGTGGCCAGTCCTCTGGAGCAGCCTAGGCTGGGGTTTAGAGAGGCTCAGTAGCTGTCTATCTAAAGCAAGGAGATCCCCAGGCAGGACTGCGGCTTGGGCGCAGATGGTCCCGAGCCCAGGCGATTCCTAATCACGCCGGTCCTCCTGGTAGCCGCCTCAGGCAGCCGGTGGTAAGCATAGGGCGGAGCAGACGCGGACTAAGGGACAGCCCCGCATGGGAAGCTACAGCCGACTAGGTCCGTACGCACCCCTCACTGTCATCCTCTTCTATTTGCAGGCGATAGATGACCCGGGAATGAGCCTCCTGGATCAATCCGTGATCAAGAAAGGTAAGGAATGGTGTGCAACTTCAGGGCAGAGCCAGGCGTGATGGTGCAAGCCCTGGGCGCAGAGACCCATTTTCTTCTCCTTGGCCGTTGTTTGCTGTGCATCGCCAGGCTCAGTGGCCGGGGAACATCTTTTTCTGCTCAGGAGAAGGGCAGTGGGGGCTAGCTGGATGATTTTGCTCAGGAGTTTGTCGCCTGAGGTGGGCCGCACTCCCTAAGCTACAACTGCACTGTCTCTCCTCAGAGGGTGACCTTGTGGATCTGGAGTTGATTTGTAGAACGAGTTAAACCACTTCCCTGTTTGCTAAGAAATGGGAATGGGAGTGCTGTTGCCACAGATTTTGATCAATGACTTCCATTTTATTGAGCTTTAACACTTTGCAGCCTGGCAAACGCTTTTGGTTCCTCTTTTCCCAGCAGAACCTAGAGGGGAGGGGGGCTTGCATCCTCCTGACCCCCCAGGACAGGCGATTTTCTTTGATCTGAAGCCTCCTAAAGCATTTAGAGGATCTATGGTGGGCTATGTACTCCAGGTCAGACCTGCTGTCTCTTCTGCTGTCTGCATCTCTGGGCTCAGGGTTCTGTGCAGACTTTATATTCTAGGCAGCAGTGTTTCCTTGGTGTGTATGTTTGTTGTTGTGAGTGTGTTTGTGATTTGTATCTGTGTATGCTAGGGTATGTATTCTGTTTGGGGTTCTCTGTGTACCTAACATGCCTCCTGGAATTTGTCATTGGTATTTAAGGCGTTCTAAGGGTGTGAGGCTCTCTCCTTGGTGGTTTTGTTTTGTTTGCCTCCATATCTGTGTGTCTTTTTGCATTAGTAAAATGGGTGGGTTTTCTGACCTGAAGACCAAGTTCTGACCATGCAGAGGAGAGGTGAGAAAGAGGCAAATTGGACTGGACAGAAACGGAAAGACCCAGGCCTTGGGCAAGCTCCTTAGATTTTGGGGTGGGTGCCCAAAGGAATTCAGAGGCAATGGGAGCCTGTAGCGCCTGAGGGCAGGCACACCTCCCTCGGGATTTGGCCAGAGCTGTTTTTCAAGCAAGTGAATTCAAGCCCAAGCTGTTTGCCCAGTGTAGAGGTTCGTAGGGGAGGCTTGCGGTGGGGGTGGAGACAGTAGAAAGGGCTGGACTTCCAGGAGTTAGAGCTAGGTATGGAATTTGGACAGCCTCCCAGAAATTGGTGAGGGGTGCCCTCGGGAATCTGGGATTTTCACCAAAAGCTGGGAGTACAAGGAAGATGCCGGGGACACATTGTCCCCCTCCCCAGCATTTTGCTATGAACAACTCTTGTTTTGACCTGGTAGAAGGAAAAGTTGGGTCTGGAGTCCTTAAATAACCTGTCACTGGGCTCTTTGCAAGCCCCCAGATCCTGGTTTCTGCCTAGCTCAAGGTTCACTAACTTCCTAGAGAGACCCAAACCCTGCATTTGGGGAAGGGGCTCACTATTCCCCCAGGTGGAAGAACCCGCTGTTGGTCTGGGTACTTTGGGTCTTGAGAGTTTCTTGTAGGTTCTGGAGTCTGGCCTACGGGCTGCGCTGATCCATAAGTAAGTGCGCATCCGCATCCGGGAGACAGTAGTGCTTATCGGTCTGTGACCACGAGCAGTGAGGTGAAGGACTCATAGAAACTAACTCAAACTGAGGGGACTGAGGCACGGTAGCAACAGTAGGAAAGGAGGGAACAGAGCCGGGTAACCTGGAGAAGGAGGAGCCTGATCCTGGCGAGCGTGGCAGTCTGCTGCCCAGCCCAGCGGGCCACTGAAAGAGAAAAGGGGGGTCAATGCCCAGGGACAGCCGGCTCCCACGGTCCACCCCGAAATTAGCGGCTTTGGCCAGGCAAGCGGTGCTGCCACCAGACTCTGTTCCCTGGGGGAGCCTCGCAACACACAGGTTTTGTTTTGTTTTTGCCGGGTTCTCCTCGACCAACGCGGGACTCGGTTTCGCCGGGTGGGTGGCCACTGGGCGGCGGGTTAGGCCCGGTGTTGGTACTCGGGCTCTTCCGATGTCGTCGGGTTTCCGAAGACTCTGGACTCTGCTTAGTGCCGTGAGTTACCGCCCACCGCCCAAGTCTTGCCTTAGGGAAAGTGGATCTTGGTGGCCTGTTCTGGTTGTGGAGGGAGCCTGCACTGTTATAGGGTCTGGGGTCCAGCACACGAAACCCTTGCAGCCCTTTGCTCCCAGCAGAAGCGGCCCTCCTCCTCGGGTGTCCATCTCACCAGTGTCTGCAGGACACTGGCGCCTGTACAGACAGACCCACAGCCCAGATCTGAGAGTCTTCGCGGACTACAGGACTACTTGTCCTGGAGGGGAGTGGGCAGGGTCTCCCCCAGCCCAACTTCTAGGTCGGCCCATTGCAGCTACCTTGTGGGTTGGAGGTGGCCGATTACTCTGAAGAAACCCCGGAGGGCAAATGAGTAGCGCTCCATTTTCTGGGCACGGCTGTCACCTCCAGTTTTACAATCTATCTCAGACACAGAGAGCGAACCTGAGAGGGTGGGGTTTCTGCACAGGAGCTCACAGGAGAGGTGGTCAGCCCCCCGAAGTTGGGAGGCGTCCTAAAGGACAGACACTTGTAAAGTACTGGTTTGTGTGTCTGTTCAGTAAATGACTGCTGGGTTTTGAAGTTTGAGCACATTGGACAGAGCATATTGAAGGGGCCCAGTTACTCCAATAAAGCACAGCCACACGAATGCTTTACCTGTGGAAAAATGGGGGCGGGAGGGCGTTGTGGAGATTAAAAATGGTGTGGTGTGGAGAGATCAGAAATGCGCTGGAGGCTTGGTGTAGTGGTACATGCCTTTAATCCCAGCCCGCTGGAGGCAGAGGCAGAGGCAGAGGCAGAGAGGCAGGCAGATCTCTGAGTTCCAGGAGAGCCAAAGCTACACAAAGAGAAACCCTATCTCAAAAAATACACAAGTAAAAAAGAAGAATTGAGCTGGAGGGGAGTGGTATGATAGGAGACTTGACATACACCTCTCCTTTCTCCCAGAAGACAGTGATTGGTGGCGAGACTGGGTTGGGAAACCCCTCTGGGCACACAGGTGGTCTAGATCTCAAGGGTTCTCTGGAATCAAGAGGGAACTAGACAGCCTTCCTCTGCACTCTTTAGTTCTGAGGGAGGTTCAGAAAGGCAGAGAGGGCCTGGGCCGGTCAGTCCAGGACTTAAGAGAAGGGAATGAGGCACTTGGCCCTGTAACTGGGTGTTTAAAAAGCCTAATAATGAAGACAAGTAGAATCTTGTTGATTTTTGATTATTTCACACATTTATATAATGGGTTTTGGGCATTTTTACCCCCACCTTTGTCCTCTCTCATCCTCCCTGTATCCCCATGAATCCTTTCTCCCCAACACACTCCCCTCCTAGTTTTGTCTTTTTTCCCCTTTGTGACCCACTGAATTCAATTATGGTTGCCTGCATGAGCAGAGGTGTGCCGTGTTATTTCCTTCCTGCCCCAGCAACCATTAATTCTTCAGAGTGGGTTGGTGCCTCATAAGATCCTACTCCATAAGAAGTATCTTTTTAAAATCACTTTTTTTTTTCTTTTGGTTTTTCAAGACAGAATTTCTCTGTGTAGCCCTGGTTGTTCTGGAACTTACAGTAAACCAGGCTGGCCTCCAACTCACAGAGATTCTTCTGCCTCTGTCTCCCAAATGCTGGGATTACAGGTGTGCACCACCACCTCCTGGCCATTTTCCATTTTTATTCATTTATATTTGTGTATTTGTGTGTGTGTGTGTGTGTGTGTGTGTGTGTGTGTGTGTGTGTGTGTGTGTGTGTGTTTATCAAAGGTCAACTTCCACGAGGAGGTTCTCTCTTTCCACCTTGGTATGGGTCCAGGGATCAAACTCAGGTTCTCAGGATAGACAGCAAATACCTTTTCCTGCTGAGCCAGCTCCCTTGCCCATAAGTAGTACCTTAATGTATTCTTTAAAAATTGGCAATAGTAGAAACAAATCCATGATGAACTATTCAATTTTTATGTAAAGTCAGAATCTAGATCAGCATTTCCATAGTTCTTTATTTGCCTGCTAGGACTTTTCACCCTGTAAGGCACCTGAGAGAACAGTTGACCATACAGAAATAATTTTCCTGAAGATAGTAGGAACTGTGGAGTACATGAGGATTTAAGTCATGTGCCAGCATCACCAGGCTCAATTTAATGGTTTGAAATTCTTATATTTATTCATTTATTTTGTGTTTATAAGGTCAGAGGACAACTTGTGGGGGTTGGATCTCTCCTTCCACCTCATGAGTTTCAGGGATCAAATCCAGGTTACCAGGTTTGCTGCAAGCTCCCTTCCTCACCAAGCCATTCACCACCCAATTTAGTGGTTTTTGAAAAAAATTAATGTATAGAATTGTATAATCACTACCACCAGCCATTTGAGACACATCTGTCACTCCTCAAAGTTTCTTCATTGCTGCCTATAGTTAATCTTTGCTCTTGTCTCAAGCCTTATGCAATGCCTTATCTGCTTTTGTTCCACAAATTTGCCTATTCTGGACAAGTCTATGGATATGAGGACTTGCAGACTTTTGTGTCTAGGTTCTTTTTTTTTTTAAAGATTTATTTATTATATATACAGTGTTCTGCCTGCATGCATGCTTGCACACCAGAAGAGGCACCAGATCTCATTAGAGATGGCTGTGAGCCACCATGTAGTTGCTGGGAATTGAACTCAGGACCTCTGGAAGAACAGCCAGTGCTCTTAACCTCTGAGTCATCTCTCCAGCCCGTGTCTAGGTTCTTTTAGCAAATGTTTTCAGGGTTTGTCTCCACTGTAACGTGTGTCAGCTATTGGGTTTGTTTTTTGTTTGTTTGGGTTTGTATTGCTGAGTAGTGTACTATTGCTCTGAATGGCTTTCATTTTAACCTCCTTCTTAGGAGCTAGAGAGATGGCTCAGTGGTTAAGAACTCTTGTGGAGTCCAGAATTTGATTCCCCACAGTCATCCATAGTTCTAGTTCCAGGGAATCCAAAGTCCTTTTCAGACTTCCCTGAAGTGGGACACATACTTGCATGTAGGAAAATTTGTATGCATAAAGAAGATAAAATAACAGGGCATAGTGGCACACACCTTCCATCCTAGTACTGGGGAGGCAGAGGCTGGCAGATCTCTGTGGGGTCAAGGCCAGCCTGGTCTACAAGAGCTAGTTCCAGG